ATTTTTACTATAACAATCGACTATGTTATTTATTTTTAATGTGAAATTTAATGGAAACGTCGGCTCTACTTATAGCATTGTGGGTAAAATCTACTACCAGTCCTTCATCACCTTAAACGAACTAGGGTGAATACATCTCATATTACTGATTTACTGGTAGTCTCGAAACTCTACTCAAACACGAAAAAAAAGAAACGTATTCGATTGGTATAGCAAATATAGGTTTGCTTCATCGACAATCCCACCAAAGAATATAATATGGCAAGATGCCTGGCCTTCCTTGAAATTCACATCTGTCCTGTGACACAAGGGCACTCGTGGCAATGTGGTTGTGTGGTTAATGTGTCAAGCTACCATTCTGCACTGTCATGGTTCGACTCCCACTTGGGGTGTTGATAAGACCAATGCGAGGTCGAAACTGTAGTCCACTCTGGATGAAAACAACTTTTGAGAAAGCAAGGCAATGTGAAATTCAATGAAAACGTCAGCTCTACTCATATCATTGTGGGTAAATTCTAGTACTAGTCCTTCATCACCTTAAACGAAATAGGGTTACTGATAGTCTCGAAACTCTACTCAAACACAAAAGTTGATTTGAGAGTAAGAGATGCGGAACTAGAACGTAGAATAAAAAATAAGGGTGATGAGTTGTACCACAACGGTTGCCTTCACTTGTCACTTTGATAAGTTGTAACTATGTGCCTACTATGGCGCCTCTTACTGACGATGCTGACTATGATGCCGGCAAATCGTTTAGAAATGTACCCAGCTAATGGGCAAATGCTGGAAATCACGAATACTATGGCAGAGGACACAGGTCTAAGTGCATTCCACAAGTTCTCCATGACGCTCTGACCTATTTACGAAGACAAGGTCGAACCAACAAATAATTATACTCTGCTGAGAAATGAATTTTATTCTTGCATACACGAGGGTTTAGTAGGTTTTTTATATAGATGCTAATTTTTAATTATTTTTTTGCGTTGATTACTGACTACATGGCTCAATAGTCCATTTAGCAAATTTTATTGAATTAATTATTTTTCTGGACTCATCTCAACGCTGGATCAGTGCTAAGTACGAAAAAAGCTTTATAGGGTATCAAAGCTAATTTTCATTCTCTAGAGTCTTTTTTTAATTTAATGTGGCTAGAGAATAAATAAATTGGGTTCATCTGGAATTATCAAAGCTGTTCTTTAGGCTAGAAAAGGAACCCATCTTCTCTTCATAGTGAGTAAGAGAAGCTTTTAAAGTTAAAAATACGCATGAGCAGGAGATCAGCCAGACCGTCATCTGGCTGTATCAAGTATCGAATAAATTGGCAAAAAGCACATAACCCCTCAAGGGTACAAGCTAGTAAGTATATTCAACGAAAAGCTGGGTTTTCAAGAACTTCTTGGTAAGTTATTGAGACTCGACTCTTTATTTGAAGAACAAGTTGGTTGGAAGAAATCCGTGAATTGGTTTCACTGGAAACCGAATGTGGAGGACCGCGAAGAAATCTCAGCTCACTGTCCTGCTACTTCGATTAACCCGTGGTATGCTTTAGTCTGGCATGTGACAGACCAAGTCAGGGCAATAACCATGCCCTATAAAGTGGGGCACTTTTAATTCACTATATTGATGCAATATTTCGTAAAGTATGGATTATTACTTTGATGGTATCTGTCACTTAATAGACGAAAGCTTAACAAGGCTTCATTAAATTCACAGGACGGTAGGCAGAGGACTTCTTCACACATTTCAATACTGTTTACCCCGCAACAATCCTTCTTAAGTTTCCAGTGGGACTAATTCATGAGATCCTCCCAACCAAAATTTCCTTCGAAATTGAAAGTCATGTCATAATAAGTCAATAAGGAATTCTTCCAAACCCAGTTTTTATTCATATCTATGAATGTATATTTATGGTCTCCTGCTGCATCTTGAATTGATTTCTAGTAAACTTGGATCCGACCTATTGATCATAATGATATAATTCCCGTGATGATTATAGCTATCTGTCTCTATATTCCTTTGTTCACCAGGTCCCAAAAAGTTATGCTTGTTTCTTTGAGCAGTCCACACTCGCTAAAAACGTCTCCCCTTGATTTCTGAATTTTCCACAGCCACTTATTTGTTGCCATCACTTTTCATCTTTGAATGATCCTGACTACTATAGCAAATGACTTGAGGCAAGGTGCGTCCAATTCGGTCGCCCTGACTACACAGCCAAATTGGGAAAACGAGGTCAAACCACTTCCATACTGCGACCAAAACGGAGGCCAAAACATCTTGGTCTTCATATCTAAGGTCAATATGATTTGTCTAAATCGAGCCTAGACCATGCTAATTCGCATGATCTCAATATAAAATATCATTGGCATACCCTCAGGCGGAGGCCAAGTTAAGTTAGACCGAATAAATATCGCAGCATCAACGTTTGACCCTCCCTGGACCAACGAAGTACAAAGGCCTTCGTTGTGGTTAGACGTATTGATGGCGGGCGGATAGGGCCGATTATTTGAAGCCGAAAAGTGAGAAATAGAAAGGGGTGTATTGAAGACTTGTGGGCCAGTGAAAGAAGGACATGATTTGACCTTTAGCATCAGCCGTCCGGCCAGGATTGCTGAAATAGCTATTACAGAGAAGCTGGCAGCCATGGGTGATTAAGAACATGAACGCCTAAGTGGAAAATACGTTTCAGGATTTTTTAGGCTCCTGCTAAATTAAGCGGATCAAGGAGTTGTTATTTTTCATGTGCCAAACTCAATAGCTTAACTTTGCCACATATTTTCGTTCTCAAGTAAGATTCCGAGATTATATATAACTCAGTTATATGAGGTACATTCTCCCTATTTCTTTCAAGGTGATGAAGGACTGATAGGTGAATTTTCACACAATTATATGAGTAAACTTAACGCTTCCATTAATTTCCACATAGTCTTGCTTTCCCAAAAGGTGTTCTTATCCATACAGAAGTGGATTACAATTTCGAGGTTAAAACTGCTGTCTACCTTCGATTAGGACATTTTTTGGGGAAAGCAAGGCTATATGAAATTCAATGGAAACGTCAGCTCTACTCATATCATTGTGAAAAATCCAACTTTCAGTCCTTCATCATATCAATACGTAGGCTTTTCCTTTATTCTGATAGTCAATTCAAGAGAAGCTAAGCGAACCAGGAAAAACTAGCAGTAAAAATGAGAAATTGCCAGGCTAAAAAGCATAATTCGAATTTAAGGCGATTTCGATGTATGATTTTGCGTCTGGACGACTATGAGAAGCTAAATTACCAATCCCCTTGAACATATCATGTTGGGGTTTCCCATCGATAAAGTAGGCTTTCTCGCAATATACTGTCGCATAAAATGAATTCAATGGAAGACTTGCCTATACCTTATTCATCCAAAGGGTGCTTTCTTATGAGGCTTCATGGATATCACTTGGTCTAGCTATAGGCATTATTGTCTTATTCTGTCTCTTAAGATGCTGAAAGTCCTAAAAGTTTGAGCTTATCAGAAAATAATGGTTAGACAACCTTAATTTCACGCGGTGTCCCTTTTCAAATGCTACACTCGCCAAGACTAGACTACAGTGTTTTAACTCATCTGGGTCTACTCAACACCCACAATTTGATTCGAAATTAGATCATCTGCGTGAGTTGACTACGTCATCATTCTATCACACAGCCCATGGTGCTTGATGTGGCCTCCAAGACAAGTCAAATCGACCAATTCACACGTATAGGGAGATTGGTGCCGGAAAGGCAAACTTTCATTTGACATTTCAATCCAAGAAATTAATATATAACAAATGAGTTATTTCCCTAGTTTTATCTTTATCAATAGGTGACAACGCGAAAGACTCAATTTATAGGGAACAAAATTTTCAGAAGTTCCATCGAGATAAGCAGCTTGGACCACGTTATTGGGGCAACCTCGAAGAATGCACATTGTTCAAAGTTCTCCACCTTATATGAGATATATTCACCCTATTTCATTTAAGGTGATGAAGGACTGGTAGTATA